ACGAAGAACCCGAATCCACTTTGACCCAACCCAAATCGGAAGTGGACCCCACTGATAATTGTACCACAAAATAGCCACTTAATATGCCATTTTAAGCTATTTTTCCAACATGAAGTATCGACTTTCTTTTCTTTGATCAACATATATCTTTCCCCCCTTTGATCGCACACATCTTGCGTAGTTTCGATCCATAAAATTGAAGGTTTTGTATGTTGTCTTGGTCTTATTCTTGGTAACTGGCAACTATTGGTATTGAAGTTGCGGCTCCGATCCGACTTCAAGCACAGGCAGTCCCTCAAGGATGCTCGGGAGGTCATTGTATGAGAAAGTGATTGTTTCTTGTCGTTTCCTTTTTTAGACAGGTGTCTTCTCCACAAACCCCCACATATTCCTTTTTGTTCTCTGCGTAGGGCCATCCTCCAAAAATCACATTTATTACTGGGCATTTACCTTTGTCTCCAGAATCCTTTGCGGGTTTTTCCTTAGAGGAACTTGGGTGATCGGAGTGTTTAGTTGCTTCCCTTTTCCATACATTCCCCATGTGCATTCTGTTCCAATCGATGAAATTTTCCAACTGACTTAATTGAATGAGGGCCTCTATTTCCTTCCTCCAGGATTGGCATTCATCCGTGCTATGCCCATACCGACAGTGAAAGCGACAATACTTCTCTTGGTCGGATGTCACGATGTCCTTGTCATGTTGATCATGGGCCTTAACCATTTGACATTCCTTGGCATACGCAAGTATTTCACTAGGTCACGCTTTGAGGGGGTGGGGGAGGGGGGGGGGGGGGGAATCATAGGCGATGCCCTCACGGGGGCGAGGTGCCCAAGGAGGGGGTGCCCTGTGCATTCCTATCGGATTCTGGGTATTGACCTCTACCACGACTTTCCCTCTCCCCATAGGGTTATTTTCTACTTGTGGGTTTGTCCCCATTTTCTTATATGGCTCTTTAGCCCGGGGATTCTTTGCGGGGGTTTCTTCCCCGTTCCCCTTGAGTCAGTTTGTTTCCTCTGCCTCGGCGTATCTGTCCGCCTTCGCCATTAGAGCGACATATGTGTTTGGGGTTTTACGTTTCAGACTTTTATAGAGCATCTACGAACATAACGATGGTTGATTTATCGTGTATGCCCTCTAAGTCCGCCTCTTCTTCTCGCCAACGGACTAAGAATTCCGTTAAAAATTCCTCTATAGCTTGCTTCATGGTGGTGAGATGTGTAAAATGTTTTTGACCTTTTTTCCCTCTCACGAAGTGGGTAATAAATTTCCCAGCCAGGTCGTGAAAAGAGTCAATGGTGTTACCATTCAGGTCTGTGAACCATCGCTGAGCTTGCCCCGCCATGGTGGAAAAGAAAGCTTTGCACATCACGGCTTCTGAGGACCCCATTGGCATCATGGTGGCCTGATAGGCCATGATGTGTTCCTGTAGGTCACCCGAACCGTCAAATCGCTTGACATTTGGGGGATTGAAATTGGAAGGAAGGGGTTCTCGCATGATTCATCGGGTGAAAGGCGGGGTCACCGTTATTTTAGGCGTCTCTAGGAGATCACCATGTTCCTTCTATTAGAGTAACTTCGAGATTTTAGCATCTATCTTTTTCGCCCAACCATCAGGAGGAGCAACATTCATTTGAGAGTGGCTCGTGCACCTACTATGAAACCCTTCTTCCATCGGGGTACGATATGTGTTTTTGCCTTCAGATTCATCAGCAGGTTGGGAGGACTTTTTTGGTAATTCTGTTTTCCCATTCAGATCCTCGATCCATGGGGACTGGAGGAGCCCTCCTACCTCCCACGCTGTGCTCAATTCGGGGCGAGCCTGGTCTTACCTTGGAGTTGCCAGAGAATAGGGTGGCGAAATCTCGCCTTGGGGGCCCACCTACAATGTTGGTGACTCCATGATACGTGAGGGCCTCCCTACCTCCGACGGGGTAGAGTAGGCTCTCTTGGTTCCCCTATTGGTCCTTGGGATATCGGCTAGAGCACCCCTGACTTCGAAGGGGTGTCAAACCCACCTTGTTGGGTTTCGCACATCCCCGTCGACCCTACGGGGTGAAGATTTGCTTTGCGATCCAGCTATTAAGGTATGGTGGAAGTTGTAGATTTGCCTTTTTTTTTTTTTGTGTATATAACTAGATCTTAGTTGTACAATGAACACTTTATATTGCAAGTGTCTGTTGATATTTGGTATTTGTAGCTTTTTCCCTTACATATTTCATGTGTTGTGAGATGTGTGTCGTAGCTTAATATAGAAATATGATTTACCTTTCAAATAAACAATTGTAATGTAATCTAGAGATATTACATGGTAATTTCCCTCTTCAATTTCTTGAATTATTTGAATACCATCTTTGTCAACAAATCCTCCCCAAGAAGTTAATATGATTGACTTCAAACTATATATTTTTTCCATGGTGTTAATAAAATACTTGATAAATAAATATAGAGAAAATCACATTTTTGGTCCCTCAATTGTTTCCCAATTTGCAACGTGGTTCCTCACTGTCAATTTTATGAAATTGGGTTCCTCAAATCTTTAAAATGTAATCAATGTGACCCTCCTGTTAGATTTGTCTCAAACTAGAGTTAATACCATGGACACTTTGGTAATTTCGCAATAGCCTTAGTTACTCACATTTTCCTGCCACGCCATTTACTCCCCAAATTCATTTCAGCCATAGCCCAGAAGTTGCCATCGCCAGTCGATCATCTGCAGAATCTTCAAGCTCTTTATCGTTAGCACCATGGAAACGCCGTGAATAGCCTGAAAAAAACAAAAGATGCGAAGGGGAGCGGTGGGAAGAAAGCTACCGGGATGAAGAGAGGCGGTAGTGGGGTGGGGAGATAGTGCAAGTTGAAGGCGGTTATATTATCCGGTCTACCAGCCGAAAACATCGGCACAGTAAAGTGTTCATCGCAAAAAGGCCACGTGACCAACGAGTGCGGCAACGATGGTGGATGGTGTGGTTCCACCTCCGATGGGACTACTCCCCCACCAAGGAAACTGCCACGCCAGGACGCGACTATTCTGCCTTCGCCGGAAACAAAGGGTGTCGTCGCTGACCGCCATCATCGTCGACCAAGAGAGAGAGGACAGTCGCCACCGCTGGTTCCTCAACCGAGGAGAAGCTCTGTTGCCGGGAAAGCTGGTCACCATCGCCTACTTTGCTCGTCGAGAAACAGGGGATACTTGCCACTACTGCTTCGCTGACCTGCTGGCGCCGACGAGATGGAACCACCGCTATTCACCGTTCGGTATGAGTTTCCGTTTCAGAAGCATCTATAAACTGGGAACACGGCGGGTACTTCGTCGTTCATTCTGCATGAAGATGAAACGTAGTCCATAGCAAAAACCATGAAATCTTTCTTCCCAATGAACTCCGATAGCTCTCTGATGAATTTTTAGAGCTACCATTATGATATAGAAATCAATGAGTAAGTTAAGAATAATTAATAGTTAACAGAATATTCCATTACTAAAGTTTATACTAAGGAATGCAGGGTTATTTATGAAAAAAAATATAATAGAGGGTAAAGAAAGAAAATCATAAAAAAAATACTAAAATCAAAATAATATGAACCATCCATTTCATCAAATAATTGGACTGACATTTTTTAGTTCATGTGATGGTTTGGCATTGAGAATGGTTTCTTTTCTCATGCTTTATTTCAATTTTTTTTCACTACTCAATGATCTGCACTAAGTAAACCCTATTTTGTGACCCTAATTAATAAAGGACCACAAAAAAGTAAACAAACCACTAACCAATTCAAACCAAGAAGGATGGTGGGATTTGAATTGGTGACATTATGATTACAAATTTGTATTCTTAACCATCTTAACTAAGATTACTATGTTTTTCTTATAGTAAAAGATGGGCTTGCATTGCAGTACACTACTCATCAACATGCATTTCAAAAACACAGTTCCTATCACATCGTCAATCAAGGTTAATAAAAGGGGAAAACCATACATCCTTTCATTAAAAATAAAAAAATAATAATAATAAAAAAAGCTCGCAAAATAACCAAACAAATAATACATACATTTATTCCTAAACTAATTTCAAACTCGCATTGAAAGTTTGAACATGTACTCCCATATTCCAAAGAATGTTTCTATCATTCAATTCTTGAGTTTTATTAACACTCCTCTCGTTTCACCAAAAATAAAAATAAAAATCAAAAATAACACTCCTCTCGATGCAAATATGGAATGGAACAACCTTAAATCTCCAGGTCAGTTGTCCCACCCAAAAAAGGTGCTTACAATTCAGCGAGGGAATTAGTCACTGTATCTCAAAGAGGTGCCTACAATTCAGCGAGGAAATTAGTCACTGTATCCCAAAGAGGTGCCTACAATTCAGCGAGGGAATTAGTCACTGTATCCCAAAGAGGTGCCTACAATTCAGCGAGGAAATTAGTCACTGTATCCCAAAGAGGTGCCTACAATTCAGCGAGGGAATTGTATCCCAAAGAGGTGCTTACAATTCAGCGAGGGAATTAATCATTGTATCCCACGTTAGAAACCCTGGATATACCCAAAAAAAAATTATTAAGATTACTTTTCATTTTTTGACTTGTAAAAGTTATCTTTCTCTCTTGTGTTATCAAATCATCAACAGAAATTAAATTTGTTCGAAACCCATTAGTGAAAAACCACCCATCACCATTTGGAAGCTCATGATGTTTTAAACACAGCCAATAATATTTTCCCTACATTTGTGAACCTTTTGGAAAGTGCATTCCACTCAGATGGATACTGCTAGCCATATTGAATATCCACTTATTTTGCATGTAAACTAAATGTATGAATTAAATTTTTTTAAAAAATATTAAAAATATAATGCAATATTTTTAATATAATAACTAAATTATTAAATTTATTTTTTTTAAAAAAGGAAATAAATAGTATCAATATTGTAAACAAATATATTTAATAAGTAAATTGCAAAGCAAACCATAATACACAAGACGGATTCATAAGATAATAATTCTGTGTAACTGCAAGTTTATCACACTATGCTCTGCAATCCTCTCTATTTATCTTCTCTGCTGCCCTCTCACAATACAATTCCGGAATTAAACATAACAATACACTAAAATAAAATCTTATTATCATCAATTATGGTTAATAAAAGGAGAAAGCAAAACCTTACATCCTTCCATGAAAAAGTGCGAATAAAAAGGAAGCTGTCACAGTAAACAAACATTAATATATATTTTCATTCCTATCTACAACAATTTCAAACTCTCATGGAAAGTTCGAACATATGCTCCCCTACTCCAAACAATATTTCTATCGTTCCATTCTTGAATTTGATCATCACTCCTCTCGCTGCAAACTTGAACATGCCCAGCTGGATTCAAACCAACTGTAAGAGTACTTTTCTTTTCTTGACTTGTAAAAATAGTCTTCTTTTCATCGGTTTCCAAATCAATAGAAATTAGATTCGGTCCAAAACCATCCTTGAAATATAACTCCTCGTCATCATAATCAGTATTAAAGAAATTAGTATACCTTATTTCCATATGACCTGCAAACACAAGTAAATGGCCACTCGGATTCCAAAATCCAATCGGAGCAAAATATTCAAGTATGTCGCTGCTAGAGAATATACTTGTTTGTTTATTCCAATTAATATTATTAATATTTTCATCCATTACCCAAATCTCAATACAGTCCTCATTTTCCGTACACGGTTGTGGCACAGTAACCACAACAATACTCTCATTCATGACTGCATAGTAATCAAGATTTTTAGCATTAGAGGGGCGCTCAATCTTACCCAAAACCTCATCATCTATATCAAACCAAACCAAATGACCTTTAAGACTCTGCCAATAATATTTTCCTTTGAAATAAAAATCCCTAGTATAGTAAAGAAAACCCAAATCTAGAGAATCGAGAGCCACATCAATTTGTCTCCAGCTCCACAGATCACCTACCTGACTACAAACCATTACAATGTCATGACTATCTTCGATTTCCCAATTTGAATCTTTAAAACTCAAAAGCATGATAATCTTCCAGGTCATGTTATTAGACAATCCAAATCCAAATTGTATATGAAGACGTTCTTTGTTAGGTGGTTTTTTGGGTACCTTAATAAAAGGCAAGGTCTTGACTTCCCTAGTGAATGGGTTGAATATCAAAACATCAAAAATGATTTCGGGTGAAATGATAGCAGCTATATCAGATCTAACCAAATCACCCCTGCATAGAATCAGGCATAGCATACCATGACAACACTTGACAAACCTGGTATTTGAATTTGGCAGGTCTAGGTATATGCATACCACATCATCACATTCTGATTCTTTGTAAATCAAGTTAAATACTTGATTAGGCTGGGGAGGCTCGAAGTCGATAACAGCACAATGACTTTTTCCCTTTCTAAATTCATAATGGTTGTCCATGAATTGATGATTGTTTTTTATTAAATTGTAGAAATATTTACAAACACATTTAAATCGCATAAGAGTCTTTACCGGCAACCTCGCCAAAATGTCAATCATCGTATCCATCGGTAATTTGCAGTCTTCCATTTTCAGGAATCAAACAATTCAAAGATGGAATCTTTAATGAACCCTAGCTATTTTGAAGCAATAATTGAATACGTACAGGATCGGAAGGAAGGATATGATGTACCTTTAATCGTCAATACACAATTGTCTTCTTCTTCTTCAATTCGTCAACCTCAACAGCATTCAATTAGTGAAGAAACTCGAATTGGAGACGATGAAGACCTGGAGTTCAATCTTCTAAGAGAAATACGCGTTTTGACAAGACACTTTTTTTTTTAAGAGTTAATTTAATTTGTATACTAAATTTATAGGTAACAATTAATTTTTAATCATTCTTTTTCAAAATATTCATCTTGATCCTAGTATTATTATAATCATTATTGTGTGCATCATGGTCCATACAAACTGTGTGAACCATATTATGTATGTACATTTAGTACAAAAATAATATACTTTTAGTATATTAATAATATACATTGTATTCAAGGAATGTACATTATTTGAGTACTGAAAGTACATTATTTTATATAATGTACATTCAATACACAAATAATGTATTTTTTTTTTTTTTGAAAGCCAAAAACATTAGCATATATTAATGAATGAACGAAGCAATAGAGTCAGGAGGGACAGAGTCTCAATACAAATAATGTTCCTGATCAAAAGCTACCGAAACTAAAGTATGAGCATGCAAATTAACTGATCTAGAGACAACACTTAATAAGAAATAATCAAAATAATGTATATATATATATATATATATATATATATATATATATATTGAATGCTACTGACTCTATTACAATGTAGTATCTGTTCATAACTACATTCTCAACCTACTGAAGCACAAAGAGCCAATAACGTCTCCACTGAATATCATCATTGAAGATCTAAATGTCATTATATTTTACAAAATTTAAACGATTTTGTTGATGGAAGAGCAAAAATAATCATGCCACAATAATACTAGGACCAGGATTGTTTGAAAGAAAAAAGATTAAAAGTGAAATACTAACCATAAATCTAGGACTAAAAATAAAATTAACTCTTTTTTTTTTTAATTGGACATAATTCTTCTTTGATAATTGATACCTTTAATACAGGATGAGTGTTTCTATTTGCACCACCCTTTGATCAAAAGTGGTATAAAGTATTCTTGAAAATTGTGAAAATGTGAAACTTTAATAATTATATACGTGGTGTAAATACATTCAAAAAAAAAATATAGGTGGTGTAAATAGTCAAATGAAGGTTCATTTTGTTATTTGCACAACCTTAGTCAAATCTCATTTATGAGGTATAATTAATAAATTTATAATTCAAAATTTAATTACAAAATATTAAATAAAAAAACAAAACAAAAATGGAAGAAGAACCGTCACCTTCTCCGGTGAGAAGGCAGCCCAGTGGATCGCCTTCTCCGGTGAGAAGGTGACCCACTGGGCTGTCTTCTCACCGGAGAAGGTGACGTTTTCTTTTTCTTTATAAATAATTAGTATTTTGATTGTTAAAAAGAATGGATAATAAATATTAATCTTTGACCACATTTAATGATGGTAGTGCACAGGGACGGAGCCAAGATGGGAGGGTGCGGGGGCCAACGACGATAGAAGTTTACTAAATCAAATACGTTGATATCCATTTAACATATTTCAACATAATCAATATATTATAAATTTACTAAAATTTAGATCTATATCACAATCCGCGAACTCTGCAATATACCATAATCTGTCAACAAATCACGCATAATAACCAGAAAAAAAAAAAAAAAAAAAAAAAAAGAGCTAAGATTCTAAGAATCTGCAGTAAAAGAGGAAGAAGCGGCAAATGAAGAGGCGGTTAGTTGGTAACCAAAAATGGATTGACTTCTTGCTCTTCCTCATCGAAAGGGTTGAGATCGGCTAGCTGATTTATGATGTAATTAAAACCTTCAAATTCGTCAAAAAAAAAAAATCTCTAGAAAAACTAATTAATTTGAAAATAAATCAGTTTTGAAGGAACACTAGAGTAATTCATCAAAATTCAAATCATTCAAAGATTCAAAAAGAAAAGGGAAAAATTACTGTAGACTTGTAGCGTGAAGAAAAAGATGTGAAGGGGACAGCTTTATACCTGATACTGCACACGTTTTCTGTAGACTTGTCTGGTATGAGATTGAAAGCCAACAAAAATACGTATAAAATTTACACTAAAAGCTTGATTGAAGGGGACAAAACATTGAGTCAACGTGATTTACATCCTCCCAAATACTGTGTCGGCCCGGGGTGTTGGGGCCCTTAGGGTTGCGGATTCAATCTTTTGGGAGGAGGGGACAAAACATTTTGATGAGGGGGAAAATTTCTACACTTTCTACATTTCCACTTTCCTAAGTGGCATTATAATATTTTAAAAAAATAGGGGGGGGGGGGGGGGGGGGGGAGGGGCCAAGGCCCCTGCGCTGTCCCTCCATCCCTGATAGTGCAAATAACTAACACTTTTCTATTTGCACCACTTATAAAGTTATTATACCTATTAAATAGGTGGTGCAAATAACAAAATATGTGGTGTGAATAGAATTTTTCTAAAGGATATGTCGATGCAAAACCCAATAGACTGAACCCATTTTTTAATTTTTTTTTTTTTTTTTTGGGAATATGGTCAATAAATTTTAGCACCATAAAAAAATTGCTCAATAACCATAAAATTGTTAAGTCAGATGGTTTGAAGGACTTAGCCCGAAATTTAATGGACTAGTCTAATTAACCAAATCATTTAAGAATATTTTTTTTCACAGTAATCACTGCTGGAATTCTGCATTTTTCCGACCACCGGAAGGTGGTCGGAAGAGGGAGATTTCCGGTCGAAAATGCAGTTTCCGACCAACTTACCGACCATTTTATGGATTCGGAAAAAAAGCCCACGCTATTACCGACAACTAGTCATGGTGGTCGGAAATACCGGCTTCTTTTTTAAGAGGTCGGAACTATTAGTTGTTGGATAAAGAGAGCATATTTCCTACCACTGGTGGTCGGTAATTGGTCGGAATTATCATCCACCAGTGGTCGATAAAATTTACAAAGAAAAAATTAAAAAATTTGAATTACCGACCACCTAGTGGTCGGTAAGATTTACTAATAAAAAAAATAAAATTTAAAATTCTACAAATACCCATTCTCAATTAAAATTTGATTACATGATCGATTAAAATACTAATCTCTTTGAGCTCAATTGGGTAATAAGGATAGATAACCTTATCGTCAAAATGTATGTTCAACATTTGCAACCTCTGCAAGGAGCCAAGCTTCATCAATGAAAGGCAATTTGGCAATGCCCTTGACATCAAGAAATATTTTAATTCAGTTGCATGATAAACATCACAGAAGATATCCTTTCTCAGAAAGCAAAATTATAAATGTTTTAATCAATACCTGCCAAGAAAACCTCTTGCCATTCATGTCCACTCCAAAATCTACAAGCATAATAACCATATAAACACAATTCCATTACGTTTAAAAAAAATGAATACATTAAGCAATAAAAAAATACTAGTGGGATAAAAATCAATAGTAGGCGAGTTTGGGTCTGTCATCAATCTCCTATAATGCTCGGGAAGCGCATGTGAACTCAGTTAGAACCCCAAAAAACACCATAGCGTGAAAAGAAATAAAGAAGAAAGATACTGGTACAAACCTTGCTGCAGGGAACACACCAAAAAAAAAAAAAAAAAAAAAAAAAAAAAAAAAAAAAAAACAGAATATGAGATGAAAAACAATTAATAAGACAAAATCTCTAAATTAGTATACCTTCTTTAATACAAATTGAATACCTTGCTGCCATCCGTCAAATACCCTCCCATCAACCTAAACTCCTTGTAAACAGCCATGAGAAAGTTAAAAAAATTCATATATCCTGAAACATAAAAACCTCTACAACAAAGTGCAAGTGAATAAGTACATTAAGATGGTAGAAATATTAGTTTCAAGTGCCTGTTAACATCTGAAACTCATTGAACTATGTGCTACTTATGAGAAGCATATGAATATATATAGTGCCAAAAAAGTTGGTCTGAGCAACACATCAACTTAAGCTCCATTTGGGAGAGCAATGCGATTCAGATAAATGCCAATTCAGATAAACCAAGCTAAAATAAAGACTGACCTGCTCGCCGCCGTTGGCTTGAAAGTCCTCGCCGCTGCTGCCTCTTCAGCTAACACTTCATTATTCTTAATAGCAGTAAGCCAGAAATGTAGAACTCCTTTCTTTACGGTTTTGTCATTGATCTTCTTCACTTCATTATTCTTAATAGCAGTAAGCCAGAAATGTAGAACTCCTTTCTTTACGGTTTTGTCATTGATCTTCTTGGTCCATAGACACTGCTTCAGCTTTCTCACCTTCAACTTCAACTATACCATTCACTATTCCATATCTCTGCACGTTTTATTTTTTCACTTCATTATGAATTTGAGACACAGAATTACAAGCCAATGGAACAGCATATGTATAACAATAATATGTAAAAGAGCCTTACAAACCTTTGTATATAGTGCTAATTACTGACTTGAGAATGAAGTACATAAGTGAGTTCCATCTCCCATCTTCTCCTTCTGCCACTGCAGCTTCTTCTGCATAACAGAATGGTGCAACTTAACAAGACCATCCCATGCATATATTGAGTTGTTCTGCAAAAGCCAAAGTTTCATCAGAAACTATCAAGAAAATCTTCTGAAGCAACAGAATTGAATGAAAGATTTAGACAACATATATAAATAAGACATGAAGTTAGAATAAAGGAAAACTTCTACATTCGAAATGCAAATAGATATTCCAAAAGAGCATATAGATTATTCGACATAACAAATAAAAAAAATGACATACTTTGCTATTCAGACATGGAAATGACATACTTCAGTTTCAGACCTTGATCCCATAGTTCAATTTAACAATGGTAGTGTATGCATTTCAACTACTATGAAGGGACTAAATTATGGTTACCAAGGATAAACTAACAAAAAATGTAAGATAAAATAGATAGAAGTAAAGCAATAGTAGCAAACACCAAAGAGAGAGCCTTCATATGCTAATGAAATAAGACCCGAAATTTAAATTTAAAAAAAAAATCATTTATCCTTCAATCACTAAGTTCCCTTGATGACATTAAAATCACAGGATAACTCCTACTTAAAACAATACAAATAAATAAATAAATAGATGTCAAAATATATGCAAATAAGTTGAATAAAGAGGAACCATAATTGGAAAAGATCTTATAGTCTAGTGTTTAAATGCTTTAATGTTCCTTTTTGAGCCTGTAAAGGTTTCAGAGATTATAAACTAACTCCCTCAATTCTTCATCATTTGGTCATTGTGAACTTCTCAGAACTGATGCTCTCATATCAAATGCATGATGGAACAATTATATTCCCACATGTCCCAATGAAAACCCAATTTCTCTCAGTTTTATGCTAGTTTCTCAATGAATCCTATAACCAGTTTGGAACTCAAGTTGAGGAGGTTTTTGCAGTGGCTAAAGCAAGTTCAGTCAGTTCATTAGAACTCATTGAATACCTAAAACTTGTGTCCACAATATATTAAATTTAATCCTAAAATCTGAAAATAAAAAGTTGATTGAGCTTGCTATTACTATCATATTATAATATCAAATATACCTTTTCCATGCCTAAAGATGCGAGTGATGTGGTTTTTAGTATCCCAGACTCGAATCGTTCCATCCTCTGATCTAGACACCAACAGAGATCCATCCATACTGAAAGCTAAGCATGTAATGCCTGTTTCTGTTTCAAGGACAAGGTCAAATCATTTAAAGTAAAATCACGAAAAGACAGCATAGGTAAGTCAAGTATCCATTCAGATAAGACTTCCCAAGAATTTAATGAAGAAAACGAAATACAGAGTTTACCATTCATAAATTTATAGAAACCAAACGCGTGGATGTTTGAATACCTATGTTCAGTCAAAGAACCATTGACATACTTCAGTTTCAGACCTTGATCCATAGTTCAATTTAACAATGGTAGTGTATGACATAGTAGTGAGTAAAACCAGAATCCTGTGTAATTGTATATGATCTAGAAAAGTAGTGAGTTTGGAATCATCACCTTCAGGACAATACCGCCACTTGAAGCCCCAAATGCCATGTGCCCTTCTGAGTCGACACAAATAACTCCGATAGTGTCACTAATGCAGTTCTAATCTAGGGCATTTTGCAAGGAAGACTGGTCACCATCTCTGCTTCCATTTGATTTGTCACACAATTGAGCTTCTATTTATAGAGCAAAACATTCAAACTCATTTGTTAGACAGCAAATTCATTTATAAAACTGGAATTATAATATAGCATTATACGCTTATAACCTTATACAGAACAAGTTTCCACAGTATTATATTCCACTTAAGTCAAAACAACCTCAAAAATAAATGACAGCTTTATACCTGATACTGCACACATTTTCACAGAATTGGCTGTTGTGGAAGAAACATCATTAACCGCTTTGGCTCCATCAAGCATTCCTTTATATTTTTTCCAGAGGTTTCTGGTCTTCTCTGTCAAAATTCAGTCTCAACAACAGAAGGAATATGATTTTAACTTATTGATAAACTTGATGTATGGAGAAGTAATAACCAAGTTAGCATGTATGGAGAAAAACTTGACACTGTTCATATAGACATTACTGGAAAGGGGAATAATACCACATCAGCTTCTGCTATTGTTTTTGGTAAAACAACACCTTTGGAGTTTGCCCATGCTCGAGCCGCTTCACCAAACAAAAACCTACAAAGGTAGGGAAGCTCCTTCAGAACACATTTAGACAACAAATGAGAACTAGATTTATTTTATGAAATGCAACAAGAGTTCTTCATGGTTCAGAAAGAGTAGTGATACATGGGGGGTATACGTCCTAGCAGTGTTGAACTGCATATCTACTCCTTAGCTAATAATGGAGCAATTTGGATGGCATTTCTAACAACTGATAATAATAACTTCACAAAAGATATATAGTGATTACAAGTGAAAGCAAATCACACAATTCTAAGCATTCCTTTCAAATTACACTGAACAAGTTCTCAAATTCATTATTGATAAACTTCAAGAATGTTCAACAATATGACAGTAAATTCACATATATTCCTTAATCATAAATCCATAAAATTCAAGATTTAAGAACAGTATATCATAAATAACTAAAATAGTAATAAAGTACCTGTTATATTTTCATGGCCAGAGACGGTAACCGAAAAATTTTAGAAATTCGAAGCCTCGCAGGTAGATCTAGGGTTTCCTATGTATAGAGCCAGAGAGGTTAAAGAATGAATGCTTGAGCTTGAGACTATGAGTATGAGTAGATGAGGTTAGAGGGACTTACCGGAGAAGCAGAGGGACGGAGAAGGTCAGAGGGCGAGAAGAAGAGAGATAGAGACGAGGCAGTGAGCGGTGGAGAAACGGGGACAAGGATGTGAGCGGTGGAGAGCCGGAGACCGAGAGATTGTCGCATGTCTGTGAGCGGCAGTCTCCGGAGATGATGGCTTGGTGAAATCATTGAGGAGTGAGAGAGATAGGCTGCGCAGATGATGAGATGAGGCTGAATCGCTAACATAAAGCCTTTTGTTTTTCTGAGTGTACATAAAGCCTTTTGTTGATTTATATATTTATATATAAACATTAAAAAAACTAATTTCAATAACTTTATGGCCGAAAACTTTTTCCGACCACCAAGTATGAAGTGGTCGGAAATTCCGATCACTTTCCGTCCAGTCCAACTCCTTGACGGAAAAATAAAAAAATGTCACTTGTTCCGACCATTTTTGTGGTTGGTCGGAAAAGTCATCGGAAAATTGAATATTTCCAGCAGTGAATGTAAAACAACGTATATATGAAGTTTATATGTAAATTTATCTTTTGTATTGTTTTATTAAAATTTTAAATAAAATATTAATAAATTTAATACAAAATAAAATATTTTTTATGAAATTAAATAATGAGAAGTAAAAATCTTATTATAATTTTTATATTATAGTATGAAAATATATTAATTATCTTTAGTTGGAATTTTAAAATTGAAGTTTTGATTTATGAAATGATGCATAATTTTATTTGAAATGCCTTAATTTATTAGAATTGAAAGTTTAAAATATTAATTTAAAAATGTTAAAAGTTTTACTTGTGCTCACTTAATAAGTTCAAAAATCTGATGTTTTACAGTTAGGGTCAAGAATTTTAAACACTACTCAAAAAAAAAAAAAAAAAAAAAAATATTGACAGTTTAATTAGACTAGACCAAAACTGAGCAAGCTGGACCAATTGACATTCCCACAATCCCACCTTTAATTTTACTTAATTACACTTCTAACCCATAAGTGTATTTGTTAATTAACTTTTAGCATATAACTTAAAAACATGAATATTTTAATATAATAACTAAATTACTAAATTTAGCTAAGCACCTTGCTGTCCTCAGATGACATGTAGTGATCTCTTCCATATGGGCAGTTATGAGATCGAGTCTCCGTATAGGAGGCGTTATTGACTCAGAGTCAGTAACATTCAAAAAAAGGAAATAAATAGTATCAATATTATAAACAAATATATTTAACAGTAAGAAAATTGCAAAGCATACCATAATACACAAGACGGATTCATCAGATAATAATTCTGTGTATCACACTATGCTATGCAATCCTTGAGTACAGAGAATGGTCTCTATGTGCATTAGCTTTAGAAGCCATCTTCTAAATCCCTCTCTATTTATCTCAAGGATAAATTAAATAATTAAGGATAAATTAGAAAATCTTAAGAAAAAAGCACTACTGGAAATTCTGAAATTTCCGACCACCTAAAAGTTATCTTAAATCAAGCTGAGAGTCTTGTTCCGACCACTTTTGGTATCCGGAAAAACCCTTATTGCTATTTCCGACCACTTTTTGCTTTCAACTTGATTTAATATCACTTTCATGTGGTCGGAAATTAAATAATTTCCAGTAGTGAATTAAAATTTGAGCAATATAAACAATTCATTTGATTTAATAATTTGACAGTCATTTTTTCTATCCGTTATAGGCCTAACTTTCTTTGGCTCTTATTAGTATAGTAGATAGTAGATATTAGTATAATAGATTTCTATTCAAACAATTATATCTAATTAATTATGTTTCAAATTTTGTTTTGAATAATTTTTATCGTGATTTAATGTATTTTTATTTTTATCCCAAGTCAACAATATTTATGATTTGACCTCAAAGTGTTTTTTTTTTTTTTTTTTTTTTTGAAAAGAACAATTACATGCAACACAAGTAAAAAGGGGTAAATATATTTTTCACTTGCGTACTCAAAACAAAACAAAACAAAGTTCAGGTTCACTTGAGCTTAAGAGCTTTTGAAAAAATTTTAAAGTCATACAAGTCTATTACCCCTCCCCCCCTCCCCCCCCCCTACAAACTTGTAACCCTAACCCATCGGGACCCACACCTTCAGATTTCACTTCAGTGTAGTTAAGAGAGTTTGATTTAGCTTGAACGCTTTGGACACTTGCACACATAATGCATTTTACCACATGCACCAGCTTCAGTATTAACATCTTATCTCTAAGCTTAGGGTCCTCATTTTATAGACGAGGAGAGATGAGCGCCAACTTTGAATTTGAATCTACCCATTGTCATCTCAGCAAGTTGCAGCTGTCCAAAAAGTTGCCACAATCCTAAAAAATTTCCTACTATCTGATAATTTCTGCAACTTATCCATAGGGAAATTACCATTTCCCTATTTGGCTTATAAACACCCCCAAGGTCAGAAATAGTTTTTCCTTTTTATCACCAATTTGTCTTTTCATAGACCTCTAGGTGTCAGACAAGTTGCAATTATTCAACAACTCCTTGTTGTTATACATGGAATGAACTTCTTCTGAGGACGATCTTCTTTAAAGCGTCCTTCAATAATGGATCTTTAACATGCTTGGAATACAATAGATAATCTCCTTTTATCATCCAAGAAGAACTATCAAGACCTTCTGACTTAGACTTCTTTTGTTTGTTCCTTTTGAAATCTTTCCTTCCGAACGTTTTTATTATGAAACCGCTTCCTTTCGGTCAATCCAATTGCAAAACTTATCTAAATTTTACAATAAAGAATGAGGGGTCTAAAGTGATTATATAATATGTTCTACATCATCAAAATCTATTACAATTATTCATAACAACATGGTTAGTTGCTCTCATTCGAGAACTTTGTCTCACTGTGCTAAAACCACCTTGACTCTAGTGTGACAATCTTGGTGCAACCTATTTGTATGCAAATCTTGTGTTTCATGCCAATTTAAACATATAGAAATAGACTACCATTTTGTTTATTACAAAGTAACATTGAAAGAACTAAAAGTGAACTACATTTCTATAAAAGACCAACTAGTCGACATTCACCAAGCCACTCATCACAATTAACCAAATTTAATCTTCTTAACGACAATGTATTTGAACTCTGTATTTTATCAACACTAGAATTCATTCTTTTTGTTATTGTATTATTGTAAATCTACTTTTTACTATTCATGACCTAACTAGGACTAATCATTGTAGTCTTATAAATACATCTCTTTATGTACTTTACAGATACGATTGACGAATACTAAAATTCTTTGCATATTATTGTTCTCATCAAGATAATTTCATCATTTTAATTTTTGATTTCAACATTTAAAAACATTCATAAAAGCAAGGTTGAAAAAATCGCTAGGCATCCTCTAGTCGCCCGCTTTCTTTTTTTTTTTAATTTTAATTTTTTTTTAAAAAAATAAATTAGTTAAACTCCCGCCTAGGCTATCTAGACGGCCGCTTAGTCCACGGCGACCTATTCGACGCCTAGGCGGCCGACCGCCTAGCAATTCCACCGAATTTCTAGGTGGCCTGCCGTCGCCTAGCGCCTAATTGGCGCCTAGGCACGATTTTTGCAACGTCGCATAAAAGACATAATATAGAACAAAAACTTAAGTTTTCATTTAAAAAATATCTATCAAATTAGTAGTATTTTATTGACACTTTTCAACAAGAATATGAGATTAAGATTGTAAATTTATTGAATTATCCTAAAAATAATGATAATTTAATAAAAATTGTAATAGAGGATATATAACAATAGAGTTAATTTCATTTTTTATCCTAAATTTATAGGTAACATTCCACTTTTTGTCCTTCTTTTTCAGAATATCCTTTTTGATCCTAGTATTATTGTGGCATGACTATTTTTGGTCTTCCTTCAACAAAATCGTTGAAATGTTGTTAAATACAAGGACATTTTGATCTTTATATATATATATATATATATATATATATATATATATATATATATATATATAAAGTGAGTTGACATGCTATATTTTTATTATTATTATTATTATTATTTTTTGAACAAAATTCATAATTGAAGACCTAAATGTCATTGTATTTTACAGAAAGTAAACATTTTATTGATGTAGGACCAAAAATGATGGTGCCACAATAATATTAAGACAAAAGATGTATGTTTTGAAAAAGAATAACTAAAATTAATTTACCACCTATTTATATGAGACAAAAATGAAATTAATTAACTCTATGACAATATTATTAAAATTATGAAAGTAAATGTAATTAAATGAGAAACTAAATGTGATAATATAAAAAATAATGGTGGGACGAAAGTAAAAGTTTGTCCTATTATATAGGTGGGAGACCACATCATCTTCTAACCCACAAAGTCAAACTCTAAAGAAATGTTTTTTTTTTTTTTTTTTTCTAACAGAAATTAAAATTGAGTTGCGTGTTAAATTCGTCCTTGGTTCCAGGAAGCTAGCTACGTGTCCATGAATGAATGAGATGAAAACGCGCCGGAGAAAACAGATGATCTTAAGGTCATCAAGGGCAGCGAATTGGAAGAAAACACGGTTTAGTATTTGCGATTTGCAGACACGGTTGGTTAGTTGCACAACGACCACGACGGCTTTTTTCAAATTCCTACGTGCAATATGCATGCATGGGAACTCCTTTTCATGAAGACGCAGTACGTAAGGGTTGTCTCGTAAAATAAAAATTTTGGTAATTTGTATCGCAATATTATTTATATCATTGAGTTTTATATAATAAATATATAATAAATATAGTTATCAGACGCGCATTGCACGAATGATCTGATGCTCAATGTGTATTTTTAAATTAGTATTTCAGAATTTATCAAAGTTAAGTATAATTCGGCATCCTGGCGTATATCAATACAATATTATCAAATTTTTCATAAAAGTAAATATTTCAAGAATACATGACCTTAAAAAAAAAAAAAAAAAAAAAAAAAAACACTAGTGCAATAGCAATTTTAGAGGAAAGCGCCCTAACAAGATAGTATTCTAAACATAATTTTTGGAAGAATAATTTTTGCATACAAAACTGTATTAATTGGTGTGATCCATGGTTTATCTTGTTACCACTTATGTGAGAAATGAATTATTGATTTGATCTAGTTCCTGGTGTGCTTCATTGCAATTTTAGTGCCTTGGCGCAATGCACCTTAAAAAACAGAATCAAATCCTCCTTCCCAAAAAATACAATAGTAATATGCATAGTTTCTCATTTGTGTTGAATATATACTACTGTAAATTAGGTGTACTGTTTCATCAATGTTCAATGCGTGATTCTAATTAATTGACCAAAGTTTATGTTAAATTTTATATTGTATTTTTTTTTCTAATACACTCTAACGTATTCATAATATATGTTTAACAATTATGTCGATTTTGATTGGGAAGAGATTCGAATCTAAGATCTTCCTTATGAAAATCAATGAGTAAGTTAAGAATAATAAAAGTTAATGGAATATTCATTTACTAAAGTTTATACTGACGGAATACAATGGTATTTAGGAAAAGTAAATTAAATGATATAATAGATGGTAAAATAAGAAGAAGAAAAAAAAAAAACAATATAAACCATTCATTTCAAGAAACAATTACATCAATATTTTTTAGTTCCAGTTAGGGGTCTAACTTTATTGGCTCTTATTAGATTTGTATTTGAATGTATGTAGATGTAGATGATAATGGTTAATTCTAGCTTGCATCTACTAGAATATACAGTATTAAATTAATAGTTTGGGAGAAGTATTAATTAAAATTAATAGTAAGATTGCATATTAATTATTTTATATGTAGTATATATTATACTCATTTATTGATCAACGGCAGTAATTTATCACAATTTGATAGACAAACTAATACAACAGTACAGCACTAGAAATTAAACTAACAAAAAACACGTACAACAGATTTTTACTTGAAAAATCCAATGTGAAAGAGACATAGGAATTGAAATTCTGAAGCTAACCAACCAAAACTCAGATTATGAAATCCCAATTAATATAATGCATGCAAAAATATTCTTGATCAGCCATGCATATATGCATATATATACTTGAATGCGCGTTTATATCCTCTGGGATAGATGCAGTTTTTGGCGCCAAGGATAGGATGGCCTGGGGTGGGTTGAAGGGAATTCTAGTCAAAGAATCCAGGATTATTATTATGAAAAGTGAAAGTGAAGTCAAAAGCCATCGTAGCATCGAACGGGAATCCCATGCCGACAACTGGGGAATTTGTTCCTGAGGTTGCCGTAGGAATCTCCATTATCATTTCAAGGTCTGAGGTTGTCGGCACAAATTGGCTTCCAAGGTTTTGTGTAGTAGTAGTAGTAGGTGACATTGTAAAACAGCTGGATCCAGACGTGGCTGGCGACACGAAACTGTTTCCGACCACCGTCGTCGTCGGAGGCTGCGGAAAACCGCAGTGGATCTCACCAACCTTAATGCCCCCCGAGCTTGAAGCAAAATCATAAGAAGAAGAAGGAAATGGGTTTTCATCACGGCCATGGCTACTGGCCTCTATATTGTCAGTTTTGATTTTGAGATTCCTTCGTAAATTCAAAAGATTGTCCTCCTGTTGAGTCTGTAACGTGCTGGGGGGTTCTTCATTGTCAAGTGTCCTCGGCGGCGGCGGCGATTGCAGTCGAGGACTCGGGTTGTTACAAGTATGATTTCCTCGATAACGGACGTTAAAAACGGTGGGGTCGTCGTCGGATTTTTGGATTTCCTTTTTGGCTAAACATCCTCGGGAATAAAGATGACTGCATCTGTAATAGCCTCTGCAGGAATTGAATAATTCAAATAAATAATCATTTAATTTATTGCAGAGTAATCCCAGCCAAGTTAACTAAGGAATAAACATACAAATTTGTAACAATAAGATAGTCATCATAAGCTCAAATCATAACTTTCTTGATTTGAGCCAATCAGCTGTGAAACTGGTTTCACAAGACAGTGTTTACCTAATATAGTGACTACAGTTTTGGTTGTAACCTTAAAAATTAAAAGAAAATTAAAACCATAGTGCACGTACTTGGGAAATTGGGCTCCCATAATTTTTTTCTGGCCGTACTTTCTCCAATTATAGCCATCGTCATGGGCTTCTTCGAGGCCTTCACCATGACTGACTTGAACATGGTCTGTCCAAACCGCGGCTTTTCTGCAGTATTGTAGTTTAAATATAAAGATTTCCAGTTTAAGAAAGGGAAATTAAACTAATAACAAACAGTACAAAACCATATATATATAGTACCTCCTTCTGCCAGAAGTAGCGTCTCTAACTTCACGGTCGCTATCAGAAGATTCATTTCGTCCGGCGGCATGGTTTAACATGCAAAGCGCATTATCCAACGAACACTGAACTTTATTTGCCAGCACTTCACAGCTCCAATCTTGGGAAGAAGATGACAATAATGCTGCATTATTCTGCAGGCACATATGGAGGCGCTTAGCAGCGTCTCTTCCCTGTAATAACTCGCTCATTATCAGGTCATTCAGATTAAACTCGCCATCCACACCAACTTCCTTTTCCATCAAAATTGTCAATTAAGAATGGGATCAAAGAAGAAGGTGGCGGGGTACGAATAAATATATGGTTTTGTTCGTTGGACGGGGAAAAGATATGCAATGCTATATATAAGGTATCCAAGATTCCAGGTAGGTAGGGCCGTAGGGCCTAGGTTGGACTTAGGAGAGGGAAAGTGAAGAAATTATATTGAAGTTTGACGATTCTTGGTCATCTTTGTCGCAGTTAATTGGACCAGTCTGTGGTCGACGTAATCGTGGGAGAAGAAGGATACAAGATATAAGTCATACAGCTGACCAATTCAACTACTGGAACAGGGAACTGGAACTAAGCCAAATATAATATAATAATCGTCTAGAAGTAGCTAGTGGGATGAATTTATTGTTTTTATTAACATATATATTCAAATAATTGGTAGTTAGATGCGACGATCGACCCGTCCGACTGTTCAACATTTTTTTTTTGGCAATATATGTAATCAAATAATTGAAAAGAGAAAGAAATGATGTTTGGAATCTTTCTACACTCCATGATGTGATGGTAGAACATGGGTGTGATATTATATCTTCCATTTAGAGGAAATTTTGTAGTCATTGCTTGAAAATACGTCTTGGGTGAAGTCAGAGGCGAAGTCAGAAATTTCATCTAGTGCGCACGAAAGATTAAAATAAATAAGATATTCTAAAAAAAAATAATTAATCAAGCAAAGAGATTCTATTTCTTGACCTTTATTACATACAACCATATATACTTAACCATCTAAGCACTTCATCTTTGAATAATATATATCTATATTATTTAATTATATCTAAGCATTTACTATATATATATATATAGAAGAGCGCTTATATGCGGCGGGGTCTTACGGTGCGGCGGTGCGGTCAAATTCCAGAATACACCAACAGTGTTAACAATATGCACCAACACTGTAATAAAAACACACCCCAATGAAATGTAATAAAACATCACAAAATACACCACAGACTCAAAAAAACACACCATATAACTCACCACCCCCAATGATGTATTTCTGAACATTGTATGGTGTTTTTACTCACACCTAATGGTGTGTGTTTGGTGATGCAGGGCTCTGTTTACTCTGTTTTGTGTGGTGTATTTCTTAACGTTGATGGTGCATATTTGGTGAACTATTGGTGTTGCCACACCGTAAGAAATAACCGCACCGTAAGACACTGCCGCACCTAAACCCGCCTCTATATATATATATATATATATATATATATATATATATATATATATATATATATATATATATAGTAAATGCTTAGATATAATTAAATAATATAGATATATATTATTCAAAGATGGAGTGTTTAGATGGTTAAGTATATATGGTTGTATGTAATAAAGGTCAAGAAGTAGAATCTTTATATATATATATATATATATATATATATATATATATATATATATACTAGTTTTTCTACGCGCTTTGCGCGAATAGGATAATGCCCAATACTTATTTTTAAATAAGTATTTCAAAGTATATTAATGAAATATTATATAGAAGATGTTCATGCATAAGTAAATAAATGTTGATTTTGTTTATTTAAATCGGTAATTTAAAGTATATAAATGCAAGATAATATATGAGAGGTTGATTATATATAACTGTCACAAAAATAAATGTTTGCAACTTTGTAATAACGCTAATCTAAGTACTAAGTCTAAAAGCGATAGTCTAAATAAATACTCTTTTTGGTTTAAATTTTTCTAATTCTCTTTTGGGTAGCATTGTTATTGTTTTCATCTTCAGTACATGTCTTTATTTTATTTATTTATTTATTTTGTTATTGGTAGTGTGTCATGTGCAATTGGGTTATTGGTGGTATCATAGAAGGATTCATCATGCAATGAGATTATGGAGTATGAAGTTTTAGATTTGTTTTGTTGTGTATATGACTGAGATCTTAGTTGTGCTATGAACAATTTATCTCACAAACACATGTTGATATGTGTTGTGAGACATCTAATTCTAAATTAATTAAATGCGTATGTATTTTTTTTTGTTGTAGTTACTAATTTATTTTTTAATTTAAGTAATAAGAGCAATAAAGTGGGCAAATTATGTTGTGGAACCGTGTCCACCTTGCAAGGTGGACACGGTTCTAAAATTGTCCATAATTATGAATATATAGTTCAAAAATTATAAACATATAGTTCTATAATTATGAACATAGAGTTGTGAACATAATTATGAACATATAGTTTTGTAATTATGAATATAGAGATTCAATACTTGTGAATATGAAGTTAAAAAATTATGAATATATACCTTTATAATTATGAACATATAGTTCAGTAATTATGAACATAGAGTTCTGTAATTGTGAATATAGAGTTCAATAATTATGAATATGAAGTTCAGTAATTATGAACATAGAGTTCAGTACATGTTGTTTTTTTTTTTTTTTTAAATTTTTTTATTGGTAGTGTGTCATGTGCAATTAGGTCACTAGTAGAAGCATAGAGGGATTCATCATGCAATGAGATTAGGGTGTATGAAGTTTTAGATTTGTCTTGCTGTGTATATGACTGAGATTTTAGTTCTAATATGAACTCTTTAACGTACAAACACCTATTGATATTTAGTAGTGGTAGTTTTTTCCCTACATGTTTCATGTGTTGTGAGATTTGTGTCGTAGGTAATCATGTGAAAGTATTGAACAAAATATTAATATTTATTATATTTGTATAAAATACTTGATAAATAAATAAATAAATAACATATTTATTTATCAAGTATTTTATACAAATATAATATTCATAATTCATAATATATGTTTAATTAATAATTATGCCAACTCTACTTGGGATGGGGTTCGAACCTAAAACCTTATATAAATTAAGAGTATGTTAAGAATAATAAATAGTTAACGGAATATTCCGTTACTAAAGTTTAAACTAACGGAATTTAGGGTTATTTAAGGGAAGAAAATAATATAATAGAGGGTAAATAAGGAAAATCATTAAAAGATACTAAAATCAAAATAATATGAACCATTCATTTTAAGAAACAATTAGTACCAACATTTTTTTTGTTCCAGTTAAGGGCCTAACATTATTCGCTCTTATTAAATTTGTAGATATATACATACATATATATATATATATATATATATATATATATATACACACATATATATATATATATACACACACATATATATATATATATATATATATATATATATATATATATATATATATACACACACACACAAGGGTCTCCTATATATAAGGGGTGGGGTGGGGGAGGGGGGCAGCTGCCCCCATTGCAAGTGCTGTCAATAATACAGGTTGCCGGGTCAGGCCAGGCCAAACGGGGTGGGCCTGGGTTTTATTGGCCCAGACCGCGCCGCCTTCGGCTCGTCGGCTAGGCCCGCCCCAAAACCCTTTTTTTTTTTTTTTAAAGTTATTAATTTATTGCTTTGCAAATTTATCCAACGCACAAAAATAATTAAAATAACTTATACATAACTCACATTAAACATAATTCATCAAACATTAGACATTACATAATTGATAATACATAACAATAATTATAAAGTTCAAAGTCCATAGTTCATCAAACATTATTAAACCTAACAATACTACATGGACCATGGTCCATCAAACTCACTAGTCACAACTCCAAAGTCCATAATTCATCAAACATTAAACATAACAATAATTTTAAAGTGCATAATCTAAAATTATAGAGTTCACAAAATCACAAGTCCATCAATTCATCAAACATTAGACATTCCATCATTCAATTCATCTTCATTCATATCATCTTCTTCATCTCCTTTATCTCCTTGATCAATAACTTTATCTACATCATCACAATCTATAAATAAAATACATTAAAAATGTTTAAAATTAAATTACTAATTAATAAAAACCAAGATAATATAACATAAGACTTTATAAATTAACTTACCCATATTGAAACCATGCAACCAATTACGAGTGCAAATAAGAGTTTGCCTTTTTCAGACAACATACAACTTCTATACTTTGTGAGCACACGTGCACCAATAGAAAATGTGGACTCTGATGCAACAGTAGTTATAGGAATTACCAAAAGATCATGCGTCATGCATGAAAGGATCGAATGAGATATCCTTGAACAAGACCCCTCCAATGATCTAACACATCCAATTCCTGATAAAATTTCATCCCATAACGATACAATTCAGATTTTCAACAGGCATAACAATTTTATCACTGACATCTAGAATATCCTGCATTAATTAAAACACAATAACTATACAAGCAACTAAGATAATATAATAACATACAATACCCAATAAAGTGTTAGAATACTTACATCAAACAGTCTTTATCCCAACGCTTTCACTACTTGACTTTCCACTCTTGAGTGCATGACAGTTGACGAACATATATGGTTGTGATGAACTTGATCCAATGGCACTCACATATTGATCATAAAGCTTGGAAAGCTTTGTTTTCAACAACTCAAATCTTTTCTTTGCATTTAGTAGGATTTGTCTCAAGCTTAGCAGATAGCTTCTCCAATACTTTATACTTAAACCATGGATCAAGAACAACACCGAAAGCATGCACTACACTATATTCACCCCAATATTTGTCAAAATATTCTAACATCCTTTTACACATCTCACTCATCAATGTGTCTTCATCATCACTTAAACTATCTTTCAACAACCTTTCAATTTTCAAAATTGCAAAAAGTACACATTTGATGTAGGATAAGAAGAACCAGAAATCAAGTTAGTGATCTCATAAAATAGCTCAAAGAAAGCACACAATCTTTCACCCCTTTTCCATTCTTCATTTGAAGGGCAAACCTTAAAATTCTTATGTTTCAATTGAAGAAGACTAAAATCTTTTTTGTATCTAATGGCACTATCCAACATTAAATTCGTAGAGTTCCAACGGATTGGCATATCCAATCGTAAGCCAATTGAGGTATCAATGGATTCAATGCCACGAACTTCAACCACACGCTCTTGAAATTTTTGCATCCTACTTTCCGTACTTTTTACAAATTTCACAGATTCTCTAATTTTATGCAAACTTTGGGTAT